GCATTTGATTAGTCTCAAACAAGAAACGGTTCTGCTCTGAAAAGTTTTGAGCAACCATGTAAGGGAAGTTATTAACAAAGTAAGGAGTGTCAGTATTGGATCTCTTGTGAGCTGAAAATGGAGATGATGATGATGAAGGAGATTGGTGGTCATATGGTATCTGAATCCCATGCATATAATGAATAGAAGTAGGTGAGTCTGAAGCAGTTCCAAATTGTGTTGTTGCTTGACTTTTCCCACTTAAACTCTTCTGAGGACTCACATCTACAAAGCCATTAAGAGCTGAAAGATATTGGTAATGTTCAATATCTGTATGCTGGTTTATGTTCTGTGTCTCAGTTAAAGAAACAAGAAACACTCTTATCCTCTTGGAACCAGCCTTCTCTTCAGCTTCTTGATACTCTTCAATCATATGAAGAAGATCTTCATCTGAGCGAACGGAGATTAGTGCATCAAGATCTTCTCCTGGTAATTGGTATTTGATTGTATGAGGATAATTGCATATAGCAAATGTCTTTTGCATCAACTCATTCAAACCAACATGTTTGTATGTTGATATTATTCTAGTCTCTCCTCCTGTGTATCTAAGCTTCCCATCACCAGACCGCGGCAAGATCCTTCCTCCAAAACTGCATAGAAGCTTCAGTTTTATAGGTAATGAAGCATCTGATGCTGTTTGGTACATCCAAGGCGAGTCAGCAACATCTGAAACGCCGGAATCAAATCTCTGGATCCCAAGGACTCGATTGAGATCTTCATAATGACTCCTCTCAACATTTTTACTAGCTTTCCTTTGAGCACTGTAATCCTTCAAGAACTCATGTGAAAACTCTTCCCCTGTCTGATTGCAAACATTGTCTCTATCCATCTTATTACCACAATCGGCATTACCGTGGAACCTATCCCTATCTAAAGAGTCTCACAAGAAAAGCAAATTTTTTATTCTTTCATATATATAACAATAAGGCTCGACGTCTGCATGCAAACCCTTCTCCTCGTTCACAATAATATCCTCAGTTTCAGATACATTGTGCTATTAATATACATGAACATATATCATCTTCAAGCTCTTTGAGAAAATATGAAATGAATTATAGAGAATCAGACCGCAGCCTATGTATATCCACAACCATGACAATATGGAATGAAGATGCGCTGGGAATTTCACATTATTCTGCATAAAAAGCAACGATGAGATTCCATTACAATGGGGACAATTTGAAACAAAGAATCTCTTGTTCTGTTTTGTGGTTTTGTCTGCAAATGAACCAATCACTGTCTCAATAACATAATGTGGTACGAGCAAAAAAAAGTAATCAGAAACAGATTTAATTATCCGTAGAAAAGGGCCAAACCAGAGGTGAGATTAACAATGAAGAAAACGAAATTTGTGGGACAAGAAAAAAAAGAAGAAGAAGAATGTTTATCAAGATGGAAAAGATTAAAATGCAAATTTTAATCTTGTTTCTAACAAGATTGTAATATACTAGAATTCACATTTTCTTATCACTCTAAAATTAACATAATTTTTTTTTTCAAAATATCATTAAAATATAAATTAAAAATCACACAACCAAAATATATATAAAATACAGTTGATTATATATTTTAAAATATATATAATTCAAAATATTAATATTTTACAACACGATACATTCTCTATTTTTTTTTTTTTTTTTTGAACAAATCTCTATTTGTTTAAAATGGATTATTATTGAAACACCGAACAAGATTCACTAATACATAGTGTGGACAAATCAATGGAGTGAAGATCAACTATTAAGGATCACCAACTGGACAAAATCCATCTCTTCCTTCTACGCTATGCTTTTAATTTATCATCTTTTATAATTTACATCATGTAAATAAATAAAAATTCGAAAAGTCATTTAAAATTATAATATTGTAAACCCAAAATATAGTATAATATATTAAAAACAAAAGTAATGTATATATTTATAGCAATATATTTGATGAAGTTCAAATAGATAAACTCAATAATTAAATATTATGCGATCCAGATGTATAGTAAATTAATATTTTATAATATATATAAGTAAATAATATTAAATAGTATTATAATATTTAAAAATAAACTAGTTAATTGTTAGTAAAAATAAATCAATTCTATATAATAAATTTAATGTAAAAATTATATTTTACTTTTAGTCTTAATTTGTTTAGTTAGTTTTCCAATTTAGTAACATATTAATATTCAAAAAAATATTTACAGGTTTTAATTTTCTGTCTAATTTAATATTACTTTTACTGTAATAAACCAGTCATTTGTTTTTTATATTGTTTAAATTATAAATTTGAAGATAAAATATCTAAGAAAAAGTACCACTAAATTTAAAAACAACCATTTAAAAAAAAACAATATCCATATTGTTAGTGTTGAACACAATTAACTATCATTTTTAAAATTTAACTATATTTAATATGAAAACCAAAGTAGACTAAACATTGGGAAAAAGTAAAACAATTACACTTTCATCAATATTTTTTTATGATAACCCAGGAATCGGGTATCCTCGAAAGATAATCGACTAGCACTTAATGACCATCCACCAGAGCTAAAAATGGGAAGCTCGCCGAAGGCACTCGAGCAGACCGCTTTTTTACCTCATTTTAATTGACGGTAGCCGGGACTCGAATTTAGGTGGCGGAAAAAATATGTGATTTCTATTTTTTTTTAAATAGTTAAAGTTACAAATAACACTTTTAATTGAAAAAAAATTAAGTATTAGTAAAAATTTCGTCAAAATTTCACTAAATTTAAATTATGTTTTTGTTGTATGTCTTGTTCTCTCACCCACCCTACCAGCGGGTATTACCCAAGTATTGTGTATCCCTTATTTATTATTTGAAAAACATTATAACATTTGAGGTATCCATGTGTTATCACCACAATGCTTCTTAAAATCTTTAGAGAAATATGTTGGTTCATATAAATATATATTAATAAGGTTTTCATTAAGTTAACCATAAGTTAATTATTAATATTATTCATTATTTCCTTAAATAAAAATTACGGACTTTCTTAATATGGCTAAAGTATATATATATTATAATTAATGATTTTAAATAATAAAGATTTGAAAAATAGTATAACCTCTTTTTTTTCATCAGTATACCCTCTATCATTCTTTTAATTTTAATATATTAAAATAAATTAAACATTCATATTAATCATATAGTAAATTCAGTTTAGATTTTTCTGTATATGTTATATTTTGAATTTTTAAAAACAATTATGAATTCCTAAAATTGTTAAAAGTCTCACATTGAAATTTTTATGATCCACGATTTAAACTTTTTGTTACAAGAAGAACAAATAATTACAAAGTCATATAAGTAGGAAGTCTCATTTAATAATTATTGAGATTAAAATATAAATAAATATATATATATATATAAATATATATATATATATATTACGAAATCATATAATTAGGAAGTCTCATTTAATAATTATTAAGATTAAAAAAAAAATATATATACATATATACATATATATATATATACATATATATATATATATATATATATATAAACATCATTTAAATTAAACTATATACCATATAAATATTTAAATATTTTAATTTCAAAATTTGTTTTGAACATTTTTTTTTGATAAAAAATTTGAATAAATATTGAAAATTAAAAATTAAAAATATAAATTTTAAATTTTAAATTTTAAATTTTAAATTTTAAATTTTAAATTTTAAATTTTAAATTTTAAATTTTAAATTTTAAATTTTAAATTTTAAATTTTAAATTTTAAATTTTAAATTTTAAATTTTAAATTTTAAATTTTAAATTTTAAATTTTAAATTTTAAATTTTAAACTGTGCATTTATTTTCTTACAAAAAAATATAAATTACTAAAACTATTAAACATCCCATAGTGAAAATTTTATTATCAGTGATTTAAATTTTTTGTTAGAAAAAGATATAAATAATCAAAAACATATAAGCAGAAAACATCATTTAGTAGATACTATTAAAAATATATTATAAATATGTGTTAATATCATCTAAATTTAATTATACAACATATAAAATAGAAAGAATGATTGTTTGGAGTAGTAAAAATTATTTATGTACTTACACCACTTTAATTATATATGTAATAGTAATAGATTTTAAAATATTTAATATATATATTTATTATTTCATAATATGTAAAAAACATATACTCCCTCTGTTTCACTTTATTTGTCATTCTAGGTTTTTGCACACAGATTAAGAAAATATTTAATTTTACATATTTCCAAGATAAAAACACAATTACCTATACATCTAACCACTTTTCAACCAATAGAAAATTGAATATTATATAAAACTAATAAATTTTCCCTCGAAACTTTCAAACGACACTTAATTTGTGACAAAAAAAATAAGTATAGAATGACATATGTTTTGAAATGGAGGGAGTAGTTTGTAAACAGAATTATATATATCATGTTTATACCAATGTTTATACCGCGCAAGGCACAGATCTTACCTAATATATATAAATTCTTGAAAAGTCTTAGTGCATGATCTCGACCCTTTTTTGATAAGACTATGAAGCTAAAAGAGCATGACTTGGAGCTTGTGAAACTCACTTTTCAAGCCACCTACATGTTGGATTTTGAGCGAAAGCGACGGAAATAAGAACCAGCAGCCTCATCACTCGGTAAGAGAGTTAGCAAAACCATTCATAATCATATCAGCAATCAACAGAAGTCACTAAAATCAGAGCTATCGGAAACTGAGGATGAAACACCAGTCTGTTGGGTAATAGCTTCAATAATTCCAATCTAGTTCGAAATCCTTGTTTTAAAAAACAAAATCAGTTTGATCATCTAAACAATTTCTTTGGGTCTGTTTTTGTAAACACTCTTTTTATTGATATATGTATATTACATGTCAGAAAAGAGAAAAGGGAAAGAAAACTATAACATAATTGGAAATTATGAAGTGGATGTAATCATCACTACCATAAAACTGCTTTAACTTCTAAGAAAAGGGTACAACTCATATCTTACATCACAGTTCGTACCCAAAACTCTTGCTCCTTGTTTAATGTCACCGTTTTTGAAAAGCTTATTGATACTCCATACCAAACAACTTTTACAATCTAATGTTAGTCCCATACACTGCACCATTGCATACAATTTACTTTTCCCTAGTTTATTTTCCCCTGCTGCGTACAATATGAGGCCAAGGCCGTCACTGGTGGTTTTCCTGACTTTAAGTGTTAGCTCATTAAAAAGATTCGTCGCCCTTTTGGCGAACAATTTTCCATCTCCTCTCACGTTATTTGGGTTGTTCATGGAAAAAATATTCTCGTAATTAGTCTTGATTGGAATTTTTTCTCTAAACATACTAACATAGAGAAAACACTGATCGTACCATATTATTCCTCCTTTGTTCTTTGGACATCTCTTAAAAAACTGCAATATACAACCATATATGTTTTGTATAATTTTAAATGATGATTTAATATTTCAGTGAAACCTTTCTTCTCCTAATTATTTGTATAATAAATGATGATTTTGGTTATTACGAGAAGTGTCAAAACAAAGGGATTTAAAGAAACCATCAAATGTATAAATAATGTGCAACATATGTTAACATAGTTGCATTTATAAGTACGAACATTGTCGATATAATTTGGTTTCTACACAACATTTATGATAAATTGTGTTGTTCATGTAACTAGGGTTGAGAAGCATCTGGGTATCAAGAAATTTCAAGGTATCCGGATCCATTAGAACCATGTTTTGACTATCCATATATCCATGATTTATTTGATATCCTAATATCGGATGTTAGTCTAAATATTAAGATAGCAGTGCGTATTCATATTTGGACACAGCTATAGTAATAATGATAAAATGTTCAAAATAATATTAAACTAATTTTAATACATTCTATAAAATGAAATAAAATATATTGTTTTGTAATAAAAGATAAGAGTAAAATAATATTACAAAATATTTTTTAAAATAAATATTATGCATATAACTTTTTAATAATATTTTTTTTTATAAATAAAATAAATTTTAAATATATTTACAGATTCAGATCCGGATAACCAATCCAAGATTGTATTCCACGGATCCGACCTTTCGATATCTGGATATTTAGAATAGATCCAGAGCAAATCTCAGATGTCTATCTATAACAAATTTCAAACTTTTTCAGCTGAATTTTTTTTTGTAATTAACTCTAGTTTAAGTTTTGTTTCACGTAGTCATTTCTCTTTTGGCTCAGTGATATAGTTTTACAACACAGCAAACATGTAATCTCTATATTTAAATGTATGACGATTCATATACCGTTTTGATTGCGATGGCAACGCATGTACGGCAGTTAGACCCATAAGAATCACCACGACACTGGAGAGTGACGGTAACAGAATCGGGAGTCGATCCGATAGTTGTGCGTGAGAAACCGGTCTCATCATAAGTATCATTAGAAACATAATGAAAGACATCAATGAGGTTCTCCTCGTACTGGCTTCCAGAGTTATATTTCCCTTGATTATGAAGGCATTTGTGGTTGAGATATTCATTGGTAATGTTCAGTGAGGAAACACTATGTATGATAAGGAATTGCATGGCTAGAATAGGAAAAGAATATTGTTTGGATAGAAATGGTGAAAATTTCATTGTATAGAGTTTTATTATTTTCAGTAAAGGGTGATTTTGGTTAATGAAGTGTTGAGATTGACATATTTATATAGGAGGCTCGCAAGGATTTTAATTGATTGGCTCATTGGATAGAAGAGAAAAAAGTGCATATTTTCGGCAGCGGAAAGGGAGAGACAAAGAAAAAGTCCAAATTCAAAAAGTTTTACGAAATTTAAACTCCTAAAAAAAATAAACTGATACCAAAGTTCGCATGCACCACTCATTAACTAACTGTGCTTTGTAATATGTTCAAATTTTGTAAGTATAACAAGAATTAGCAAGACGATTTTACCTTTTTAATTTAAAAGCTGACCTTAATCTAATTAAAATTTGCTATAATTATCTGTGGACTTAGTGGTTCTGCACCTCTGGCACACGCCAAGAACTGGA